AATTGTAGGCATTTTAGATGTGGGTAGAAGTGTTTTATGAGATGCGCAAAAACTGAAACGTGACAGACTTTTTGAGACGGAGAGAGTACATGAAAAATTTTTCGAAATAAATAGTGTTAAAAATATTTTATTTTATTAAATAATTAAAAAAAATGTACAAATAAATAATAGTTCTCGTGACTCTTGAAAAAGTTAGTGTGACAAACATATTTTGGGAAAAAGGAAATACTCCGTACTAGTTTACTACTCCAATATCCAGTGCACTGTTAACGAAATCTTCTACGTAATTTCCCCTCATCCAATCCCCCCACGGTCAATCCGTCATTATCCGCGTTAATCTCCCCTCCCAAGCCACTATAAGTACTGCCCAAAAACCAACTCCAAATTAATCACCATTATCATATATATCAAAATAAGAAAAAATAAGAAGAAAAAAAAAGAATCTTTATTTATTTCCAAGAATATGGGAAAGAAATCTTTCCTTGGGCTCTTCAGAGTGAAGACGAAGGACAAGAAGGCAAAGAGACTGAAGAGGGAAGAAGAAGAAGAAGAGGAGGAGAGGGTGGCGGCGCCGGTGGCCAAGGTGTACTACAAAGTACGGCCGAGCGACGAAGACCGCCCCAACTGGGTGGCCGACCCCTTCATCGACGCCAAAGCCACCGCCTTCCTCAAGATCAAACGGCGGCAGTTTCTGGGCATTGCCGACGACGACGACAATGACGACAAAGTCTCCTAATGACTTTGTTCATGATCAAACATTCAAACCCACTTCCATTTTGGTTTTGAATATGCTAGATGGATATATATAGATAGTGTAGTAGTTGTAATTTTGCATGTAAATCCAGTCTTGAATAGGGAATATATATGCTCAAGAATGTGTTTTTATATAGCTTATTGTGAAATTTTGATGTTGTAAATATGCACCTTCCAAACTTCTTGTCCTTTATTTTTCAGAAAATCCCAAGCAGCAAATTCTTTTGTGGGTAATCTGTTGTAAATATGCACCTTCTAATTTCTTGCAACACCGACTTAAAAATGTATTTAGATATGATGACTATACAATAACATTATATATCCAAATTTATAACAAAATACACCAAACACGGGCAAAGATGAATTCCTTTTAATAGTATCCATATTAGTTTCTTACATATTTATTTGGGTTATTATTTAATTGAGTAATTTTTTCAAAACTTTATTTTTTTCAACATTTTCCAACCTCTTCTATTTTTTCTGGTCCTTCCAGTTTCTTCCAATTCCTTTCTATATTCCAACTTTTAATTTTTTCCAACATCCAACTTTAGAATTCCAATCGAAAAGAACAGAGGCTTAAACAAGTTCATAAAAAGTTCATAATGTGCCTTTTTCGACTCAATACTTTTTATTTATAATCAACTAAAACTAATGTTTGTGATACAATTTGATAATAATTGGTCTTATTGAATAATGAAGATCCATCCCCATATATACATATTACAAGAGAGAGTTCTAATCCAAGTAGGAAAAGAAATATAGTAACAACACAATAAGGAAATAAAGAAATAATGAAAGGAATTAATTAATAATATTATAATTCCTAATATCCCCCTGCAAGCTGATCAGCGGAGACGAGGGACAGAAGAGCTCGCAGTATAAGAGTCATTGAAACGTTACCAGCATGATGTGGCCGAATGTCCGTGCTTATCACAAATCTGACACGTAGGAACAATCTGTGACGGTCTACTATTTCCGAAGGACGGTCGACTGTTGTTCTACCGCCGCAGGAACTATTGTAGCAGTGTCGAGAGGACGGTCGACCGCGGTAGCCCCCTCGACCGCGACCTCGACCGTCTGTAGGAAGAAGAGCATTATGTGCCCCCCTAAAGGAAGAATAAGCTAGATTCACTTTTTGCTCCATCTCAATGTTAATTTTCTCTGAAGTAAGCCATCTAGAAAGCTGATTGAGAGTGATATTGCTGTTTTGCAGACAAATATTTTGTCTGGATGAAAAGTATTCGATAAAGAGACCACGAATAACAGTATTGACAACATCTCATTCTGGAATATGTCCACGTAAAGCATCAAGATTAGCAAGGATTGTGGCGACTTCATCAGGGTATTGAGACATGGATTTGGTTCCTTTGCGCAGGATATGTAGTTTATCACGAAGTTGATAAATATAGGCGGTGGAAATAGAGTTATACCTTGTCGCTAATGCTTCCCCCAAGGCGAAGAAGTGGTGAAGCCATGAGCATGTTTATGGACGGCATGACTAATGATGGCGAGAAGACATGCCCGGATCTGAGTATCAATGATTGTCCAAGAAGCAAAATCACAATTTAAAGTAACAACTCCATTTTTGAGGATAATTTTAGATGGATTTTTCATGGATCCATCAATCCACCAAGAAGAAGATTTGCTTCAAATGTGGTTTGAACATTTAGCGATCATGCAGGATAGTTTGTATCCGTGAGTTTTCAGGGATGAGACTGTGAAGATTTCGGAGTAATAATTTTACTCCATATGGAAATGAAGATAAGGGGTCTTTTGCTGCCACAGTAGTCGACCGACTGTAGGAAGTGGACCGACGGTAATGCCAAAAAAAGGGTAGGGTTTGGGAGATCTTAACTCCGATAGCATGATACAATTTGATAATAATTGGTCTTATTGAATAATGAAGGATGCATTCTTATATATAGAGATTACAAGAGACAGTTCCAATCCAAGTAGAAAAAGAAATACAGTAACAACACAATAAGGAAATAAAAGAATAAGGAAAGGAATTAATTAATAATATTCTATTTCTAATAGTTTGATGAAATATTTCTTATAATAGGGAATTGTGTCTCAAACATTAAAGAAAAAAAGACTGAAGTAGATGTAAAACATATAAACTACACCAATATAGGAGTTCCATATTTTTATTCTCAAAATAGAAGTTAAAATGCATATATAAATATATAATGTCAATCATGCCAATGTACAATGCAAAAAAATATTGTGAAATATCTATATACAATACCAAAAAGTATTGTGAAATATTTATATACAATGTCATATTATTATACTGCAAACTTCTATTTTGAAAATAAATATATGGAACTCCTATTTTGGAACATTTTTATGTTTTACTTTTATTTAAGATACTTCTTAAACGTGAAGCAAACAAAAAAAGACTTTTTTTTCAAAGAAAAAACATTGGTTAAAGAAAAAAGTCAAAAAAAGCAAGGTCATTAAGGAATGAATTATGTCAAGATTTGGAAGCATCAGTCCACCTCATTACTTATTCCCTCGTTTCGTAGTCGGTTTGATAGAATAAATTATCACAGTAATTCATTATTATCCGTTACACTACGTTAAAGAAGTCTTCGTCTTTGTAATTTCTCATCATTTAAGCGCGTTAATATAATCTCCCCTCCCAAGCCAGCAACTATATAAATACCACACAAAAACCAATTAACTCTAAATCAATATAATCACCAGCTATCATATCATTTCCCTTTCCCAATCCAAAATAATTAAGAACATTTATATTTCCAAGAATATGGGAAAGAAATCAGAGTTTTCTTTCCTTGGGCTCTTCAAAGTGAAGAAGGAAGAAAAGGCAAAGAGGAAGAAAGAAAAAGAAGAGGAGGAGAGAGAGGCGGAGCCGGTGGCTAAGGTGTACTACAAAGTACGGCCGAGTGACGAAGACCGCCCCAACTGGGTGGCCGACCCCTTCATCGACGCCAAAGCCACCGCCTTCCTCAAGATCAAACGGCGGCAGTTTCTGGGCATTGTCGAGGACGACGACGATAATGTCGTCTCCAAATGACTGTGTTTGCTTTTGAGTGTGCATGGGTAAAGTCTACGTACAGTCGTACACACACTCTGTAAAATCTGGTTTTTGTGGGATTTTATTGGGTTGTTGTTGTCGAGGACGTTTCCAAATTTCAAGTGGCATTAGGAAGAACACCATATATGCAATGAAGTATATGCTTAGATAGGATTTGTTTAGTTAATTAGACTTTAGATTGCTGAATGATGTGTATATATATGTGTGTGTTCATATCTTCATAATGGAACATGTTTCATTTTCATTTTTGAATGTACCTTAGATTGATGATGTAGTAGTTGGAGTTTAGCATGTAAATTCAATATTGTAACTTTGTCTCCTTTTTTTTAAGTTTCAATCTTTTTTTTTGCGTCCCACAAAACATTTCAATCTTTTTTTTTTTACAATTTTTTAATGCTTATAAATTTTTACTTTATAAACAAAAAAAAACCAAAATAAAAATTGCAAAAGACCGAAGCAAATGACCAACTATTTACATATTTTTTATGCAAAATCGAACCGAAGTGAACCACCAATTTACCTTCCATTTTGTCTTTGGTTTTGAAGCACATCCGAAGTCTATAAGACCGGTTTCATTGTTGTGACCCGAAAAGGATTCGTGTAATTTCATTTTGACGCGTGGATTTCAAATTATGGATTTGAAATTTTGATCCTCTGTTATAGAATTTAAAATGTGAAATTGGTAAGTTTAGAATTTTAATTTTTAAATATTAATAGAGGAAATTAATTTTTTTTAAAATATTTTCCTTCTTTACTAGACAAACAACGGAAAATATTATTGGAAAATAGTTTTACTTGAAAATCATTTTCCTCTAAAAAATGGTCTTCTAGGAATTTTTTTTCCCCAACCAAACACACCCAAAAATGTCTAAAATACTTCCAAAACAATTTCTATCCTAAATAAAAGAGAAATGAGATTATTTTAAAAATTCTAATTGGGGTATAAGTGTTTTGAGAGATACGCAAAAAAATAAATATGGAATTATTTTAGAAAATGGGGAAGTATATTTCTTTTTTTGTGAAAGTTTTAGTGTTCAGATGCATAATGGCTCTCATTGAAAGCTATCCGAATAAGTTAAGAAAGACTTCAATCGTCTTCAAGTCCTGAGGAGAAGAAGAAGAGGAGAGATTGAAGAAAGCAGGAGGGAAGCTATTCGGTTAGAACAGTTCAAAATATGCTCTTTATCTCAAAAAAATAGTCTTATTTAGAGCATGAACAATGGCAAGTCATATTCTGAAATGTCACACGCTGACTGTTCAACCAATCAAAGTTAATCTAGTCATACAGTAGCATAGCATTGGAGTGGTATACCCTCCAGTGGCAAGTAAACATAGAGTATATCAATTTCCATATCAAATTGAAGAGTGAAGAAGAAAAAAGATGGAGGCCCAACATCAAACAATCAAGATTACTGGCGATGAGATCGAGGTACAAAGATGGGTGATTTTCAGAGCGATTAAACAAGAGATGGAGTGGCAGAGGGTACCTGAGCGTCGAAGATGGTGGCCGGCATGGTGGCGAAAGAGCACCAATGATTGACGACGATGGTGCAACAGATGATTTCCCAGGGAAGAGAGAAGAGAAGTGACCAGAGGAGTGACCCATGATTTTCCTAGATCCCCTTTCCGCTGTTTCTATCTTGCCTCGCACTCGCCACGATATTCGGAGTGGCGAGCGGCATCACACGCGATCCAATTTTCGCCTCTCCCGCGTTGTATTGCTTTAGTTTCCACGAATGGCAGGGCGTGGCAATGTAAATCTTTGCCGCTGCCCATGCTCTTAAAAAAACGTACTCCATTCGCCCCATATTGGATGCCACCCTTCCAACAATATACAAAACCCCATCATTTTTAAAATCATTTTAATTATAAATTAACATAAAAATTATGAACTACACTATTTAAAAGTACATAAAAAACTCTATAAAACAAGATATGACAAAAATATTTTATTCTATCAAATTTTCCATATAAATATACAAACAAACAAAAGTTATCGAGAGGCTGTATTAGTGACATTAGTATCCATTTCAGAACAGAGGGGTATAAAATATCATCTATTTTAAAATTATTTAAAATAAAATTAATATAAAAAATATAAGATACAAATTATATACTGCCTCCGTCCCTAAAAGATTGCCACAGATTGACTTTTTTAATCAAACTGTAACACCCTTTGACCACGGATATTTTAAAATAAAAACCCAAATTCACTAAATTTACATTATAACTAAATATATTTTTTTAATAATTTGCAGTCAAAGAGTGCCACAGTTTTCCATGATTAAATTTAACTATGACAATTTTTAAGGACGGAGAGAGTATTACAAAATTACATCAAAAGTTCTCTTTGCATCATCTTTGGTTCTTCTCATTTTACAAATAACTTTTAACTAACTACGGAGTAATAAATACTCCATCCATATCAGATACAGAATGGCAAATACAGCCATTAGTGAGGTTTCTATACCAGCAGATAGACACAATAAGTTCTAAGAAAATGGTGACTTTTTCACAGTATTTGCCTTTGGATATGTTCTTGAGCATCTCTGCATGTATATGCTCCCAAAGCTATCTAACGACAGCATTTGGTTGTATCCAAATCTACATTTAATCCTTGAAATTTGTAAATAAAACTGAAATCAAAATGAATCTGGCCAATACATAATGATAATCTAAATAAATCTGGGTGACTTATTATTTAATCAAATATCTATTAATCTACTGAACGAGATTGAAATCAAGGTAAATTGTTGTTACTATCTGGCTAATACACATAATTTCACAAAAGCATACCATTCATTGACCCTGTTTGGGAAGAGCATTTTCGATTAGCGTTAGCGATTTGGATAAAACTTTAATGGTGTAGATTAATTCAGAAAACGCTAACGCCAAAGGCTACCGTCAAATAGCTTTTTCAAAACGCTAACGCGAATCTCTAACGCAAATGCAAACTCCAAGTTTCTCACCCAAACCTTAGGAGAAATTTACCCATGACATTTCAAGGAATCCTAAAATGTGAAATACCATCAACTCTCCATTATATGCCCAATCTTCACTCATAATTTCTTTAAACCTCATACACAATGTAAAAGTCTTAGGGCTAGAGTTAAGTTCTTGGATAGTTCTTTAATAATATCTGTAAAAACGCTAATGCTAAAGGTTTTCTCAATCGGCACCTTTCAAAAGGCTAAAGCTAAACGCTAACGGATTCAAAGTTTTCGTGCATTGAAGAATGGATGTGAAGATAAAATGAATATTTGGTAATAAATTCTTACCAAAAAATGTGTCAAAATCTTCCAAAATTAATGACAGATTGCCAGCTTCAGTCTAGGTACTATATAAATATCAATCATATGCCATTCCAAGGAAGTAAGCAATTGCTTCCAAATTCAACCAATTATACCTGAATTGCAGAGTTGAAACCCTAGATGACCAGGAAGAAGGTGAAGCTCGCTTTCATCAGCAATGACTCGGCTAGGAAAGCGACATTGAAGAAGAGGAAGAAGGGGCTGATGAAGAAGGTGAGCGAGCTGAGCACTCTGTGTGGAATCGACGCGTGCGCCATAATCTACAGCCCGTACGAGAACCAGCCGGAGGTGTGGCCAAACACGGCGGGGGCCCAGAGGGTGGTGGCGCAGTTCAAGAGGATGCCGGAGATGGAGCAGAGCAAGAAGATGGTGAACCAGGAGAGCTTTATCCGGCAGAGGATCGCGAAGGCCGGCGAGCAGCTCAAGAAGCTCCGCCGGGAGAACCGGGAGAAGGAGATCACGGAGGTGATGTACCAGTTGCTGACGGGGAAGGCGGCGGCCTTGCAGCAGAGCTTGATCCTCACGGATCTGAACGATCTCGCGTGGATGCTAGATCAGAACCTCAAGGAGATCGACAAGAGGATCGAGACTCTCAAGAAGGAGGCGGCGGCGGCTCCGGTGGTGTCTCAGCCTGCCGCCGCGGTGATTCAGACCGTGACGGCGGCGGCGGATCAGCAGGAGGAGGTGGGGGTGGATTTGGGGCAGAGGCAGAATTGGTTTGTGGATTGGATGATGAGTAACCCTAATGAGCACATGGGGTTTGAGCACGGCGGGGGAAGCGGCGGCGGCGGCGGAGGGGATGAGATGAATATACCCAACCACCACGCGGTGTGGCCCGGTGCTTTCTTTCCTTGATTTTACTCTGTACTCCGTATTTCTTTAGATGGTACACTTCCCCCTAAAATTATTTATGTTCTGCATTTGACCTCACGTGTTATTTAATAAAATGAATTAGAAATGGAATGCTTAAAATTTAAAAATTTATTACTTTCTCTCTTTTTTTAAATCATTATTATTTTGTATTCAAGAAATCCTGATAATTTTTTTTTTCATTTGACAAAAAAAATCTTGTCACCACTCATTTTGTTGAAGTTTTATTGTGGTTTTAAAATATGATACGGCAGGTCTTGACATTTTATGGGTCTTAGGCCAATTAAAAAATTTGACCTCTTATGATTATTTTTGAAAAAGATCAATATCACTTAGGTAGTGTTTGACAACTAGTATTTTATTTCAATTCATGCATTTCAATTCTAAAATTTAAAATCTTGAATTTCAAATGACAAGGGGAGGATCATGTTCCCATACTACCATTAATGAATTTAAATGATTGAGTGTGACATATTATCATTGTAGTACACATATTTACTCAAAATTGAAAGTTTAAAACTCTAAATTGATTGTTTTTTACAATAATATATTACTAGTTCTATTTGAGAAAAAATGATTATGGGCCCCCTATGATCGAAATGGGCCATATGCCTACCCCAAGGTCGGCTCTAAATATGTAAATTTTATTTTTTATTTTTATATCAATATTTAAATTAAATCATTTTTAAAAAGATGAGGTTTTATAGCAAAACCGAAATCAGAAGTGTTTTAAAGAAAAAGATAAGGTGATTTATTAGTACAAAACAATATTTTGATAAAAATATTGACGACGAAGTGGTGAAATCTATCTCAAAGTGTTGAAAACAAATTATTTCTTGCACATAGAAGATAAATTGTCAATGTGAAATTTGTACTAAATAGGATTGAAACAAAAGTCATTTTCTAATGTAGGACTTAAACTTTTTTATTCCCTAAATAAGACTTAATAATGTCTAGTGGGAGAAATAATGTCTAGTAATGATGAACATTTACTTGAATAATGACTAATTGATAATGACGAAAGGTCCTAAATTTGAAAATAAAAACATGTGGTCTTATATTGAGAAAGTCATTATGTTCTAGTCCTATTTAGGTAAATTTCTCATTTTTCATATTTGAGAATTTCAAAGGAGATAATAAACGTCAAATAGCGGAACATTGAATAATAACAATGTTTTTTAGGAGTGTATAAACATAAGAGGTAGAGCACTCGAAATACTCGTGAAGCCTCGGTGTTTCAAAATTTTTCTCTCTGTCACGTCAGCTTTAACTAACCTCACAATTTTACTGGAAATGAGTTTCAAGCTCTGGTATTTCAAACTGGGGCTTCACACCTCTATTTTTTACATTTTGAATACATATTTTGTAAACTCAAATTGATAAGATTTCATTAATTAATTGAATGTAAACGATAACAATTCATAAAATAAAGATTTGAATGATAACAACATAAATAAAAAATAAAAAATAAAAAATGACATTACATTACGAAGAAATTACTGATTATTTGAGCGACTAAAAATATGTTTAATCAAATCCACCATTAGTGCATTGTGAATCTCTTGGCTTCAAATTTCTTGGCGGTTTCTTGGTCTTTTCTTCATCGATTTCTTCGTACGTAGGCACCTCATCGTCCGGGTTATAATGACAAATTACAAACTCGTTGTCCTCTATGAACATATTATGAAGAACAATGCATGCACACATGATATTTCTCATTTTTGTTTGAGAATAACACTTGCACAGACAATCTAGAATGTGTCACTTACCCTTCAACACTCTGAAGCCTCGTTCGATATCTTTCATCGCCGCCTCATGAGCTTTTTTGTAGGTCAAGCATTTAAGACTCATTAGTTTGGAGAAGGACATGACAATTGTGGAATAATCTAGATATATCTCATCGGCAAGATAATATCCACGCTTGTTAAACATCCCTCTAAGCTCAAAATACGAGTCGGGTGCAGTCTCATTAACCCAATTGTTAGAAACGGGTGATTGATCAAGAACATTGATATCATTGTTCGAGCTCGCAATACCGAAAAAAGCATGCCAAAATCACAAATCATTTGAAGCCACAATTTTGAGCTTATATACTAGGCTTGCGATGATAACCCTGGGAGAATTGACCATGCCACGCAGTGGGACAATTTTTTCATTCCTAATTCGTGCAATTGATGCTCCCAAGCATGCTGATAAAGCCGTGTGTAGCGGCATGCCTCGCGTGTAACTGTTCAATGTTGCTCACTATCGGCTTACGTAAATACCTTTTACGATCGATAAAGTCAAATAATAGCTTTAGAAAATTTATAAACGCATGACCTGATGTTTCGAGCCGACATCTTCAAGTATTTGTCAAACATATCACTGGCCGTCTCGTGCGCCATCTGATGAAGTGCGGTGGTGCATTTCTGAATGCTGCTAAAATCATGTCGGCCTCTCGCATCAAAGTGTTGGATGAACCAAGGCTCCTTGCATTCAATATATGTGAGTATACGTAAAAACAAAAAATAGATCACGTGAAAAGAAGTACTAAAATCCTCCAGTGTGTAAACACACAGAGCGTTGAAGTAGTCATTGAGCAATGATTCATGTGCAGCCGCCCGATCACGGTTTAAATGCTCACATCAGGTCGAGCATTGGGACGATTCTGCTTTCTCTTGTTGGCCTTGTTGCCACCATTGGTAATAGCCCGTCGTGAAACAACAAAAAATGAGAGTTTTTCTTTCATCGTAAGATGAAGATGATTCCATTTAGAGAGAGTTAAAAGAAATAGAATATATTTTGGAGAAATTATAGAGATAATGAGAATATATTGTGTTAAATATAAGGGGTATTTATTGTATTAAAATGATTTTTTTTATTTTTGCCCAGCGGCCAGAATTTTGGGTCGTTGGGGGGGGGGACGGGCACAAAGCAATAGCGCACAGCTGCGTCAAACGTTTAACGCATGTTAGATAACGCACCCATGACGGAGGAGGGGGCGGTGTTTAACGCCCTCCTGGCGTTAAAACTGTGTTTGTTGCGGTGGGTGTTAAGCCCATTTCCGGTGCTCTTAGAGACCTAATCGGCTAGAGACTCTACAAGATATATATAAAATATTAACACTAAATATAATGATGTATTTGTATTTAACATGTTCCCCTGAATCCCTGGCTAAACTTTCTAGGGATTCTCGAAACATGATGGAAGTGAGTAAGATGTCAGTATATTAAGAAGATAAAGGTACATGCACAACACAAACATGCCCTAGAGCTACTTTGTTATGGACAAAGTGAATGTCCGCTTCCATGTACTTGGTGTTGCACCGGGTTGCAAGAAGGAAAAACTGCACTGATATTATAAAAAAAGAAAAAGCGACGGTTTCAACATTAATCGATGCATGATGTTCCAGAATTAGCATGGTGGAACAGGTTTAAGAATAGTTTCTAAAACGGGAGGAAGGAGACTTGAGATTGGAAGTCTATCGCGAGGCCGCGAAGGACCTGCAACACCAAAGTTTGTTCACTAGCGGCGCATCCACACCGTTGATGTAGCTGACTGGATTCTTTAATTAATTAAGCGTAGGGGCTCGTATACTCTCACGTAAAAAATACATTTAAAAATTGAAGATAAATGCCTTTTGTAGTATAACCTGCAATTGAGAATTGTGAGGTACAACCAACCATACATAGAAAAAAATAGTACTCCCCGTGTCGTGTCCCAAATTAAGTTATTTATTTACTATACATAGAGTCAAACTTTATTCACTTTCTTTCTTTATTTTCATTACTCATTTGATAAAATAATATGGTCATTTCACCTCTCATTTTGTAAATCTTTTGGCCGGTGTAGTTGTTTAACATGTAAAATTTATTTTTTTAAATCCGCTTCAGTTCTCTAATAATTGCATTGAAAATAACTTCAACCAAACATTGTAAACAGAAACAAATGATTTAATTTGGGATATAGGAAGTTTGTAATTGGTAAACAAAAAAAGAAGATTGGTTGTCCACTTTGTCACGAATAAAGTGAATGTCCAATTCAACATGTTTGGTTTGCTGATGCTGTACCAGATTTGTCAAACGATACACAGCACTAATATTGTCACAAAAGACAAAGTGGCTTTGCTAAGAGGTTGATGAAGCTCAAGAAGGAGATTTCAAATCCAGCTCAACTCTGCAACAACATTTGCTACAACACAGTATTCAGCTTCAGCACTAGAACGAGAGGTGGTAACCTGTCGTTTGGAAGACCATGACACCAGATTGTCCCCTAAGAAAAGACAATAAGCTGATGTAGACTTTCGAGTGTCAGAGCATCAAGCCCGATCTGCATCTGAGTAGGGTTGAAGCTAATGTGTCTCAGATTTAGTGAGGGTAATCCCATGCGTGGATATGCCATGAAGATATCAAAGTACTTGCTTCAGAGCCGTGAGATGACTGAACCCGGGTTCATGCAGGTGAAGGCAAAGCTGCTGGACAGCGTAAGTAATGCTCGAAAGTGTGAAGGTGAAGTACTCCAGGGCTCCAACAATAGATCGGTAAAGAGAGGGGTCGGACACCGAAGATACCATGAGTGAGGTGTCTACTTCAATCTGTAGAGGGCTTTGTTTAATTTGCATACATGATGTGGGTGAGTGAGATCCTGAAAATCAGAAGGTTGGTTGGGATAGACGGCCTCTCGGAGAATGCCATGTACACCCGATCACGGGCTCGGGTATCCGGTCCGCCCGCAAAAGTCCGGCTGTAAAATAGCGGGTTTGACTTTACATCTTAGGGTACGGGCTTATAAATGGCGGCTCGAATATTTTAGGGCTGGACTCGGGTTTTATGCTCAAACCCACATACCGACCCGACCCGAATGAACTAAAATATTTTTTATTAGTATAATTATAATAAAATGACTATTCATTAATAATGATAATAATTAGAAAAGAACAATACTATTTTAAATTATTATAAACACATATACATAATTCTATGGAGAAAAAGGTGAATTATAAGTATATTAAATAAAATGAATGCATCTTTATTATTCTGTATCGTTTACAACGTATCACACATTGATAATTGTGTTCCAATAAATAATTCTCGTACTCCCTATGTAGTAGCAATATCAAACAAAACACATTTTATATATTAATTGTTCTTTCATTACTCATTATAGTTATTATATCAAACATCTAATATACTAATCCATTATTTTATTTTTTTAAAAATTAATTTTCTAATTATTTAGAAACTTTTGTCGTGCGGCCTAGGCCGGCACGAAGCCCGCTACCTTAAAATATTTTAAAATTATCTCAAAATATTTTAAATTTTTCTAATTTGACGGCGGGCACTTTCAGCGAATGAAGATAAAAAAAATAAAAGGATTTAGGGAGCACTCTTAAAAAAATCGGGGTGAGGGCAACACTTAATTTATTTTTATAAAACCAATGTAAAATGAGAAAAAAAGTTAGTAAAATACAGAGTATATTGCCATTTTTATTTAATTGAGATTTGAGATTCAAAGTTTAGACCATGGCTACCGGCGACTGAGACAGCTTTCCTCGGTTCCAGTTTCGCAGTTTTGGCTGGATTCCTTCCGGTTCTTTCTTCTAGTTTCGAACCCCAAAACACTACGCAGGTGAGCAAATATTCCCTTTTTTAATCAGATTTATATTGTTCAGACTTCAGGATAAACAATTTCTTATGAATTAGAAATTTGAAACCCTGGCATTATGAATGATTTGGTGAATGATTTGGAATAGAAATTTTCTGAAAGGAATTTGAGTACTGCGGTTGAAAAACGAATTATTAAGTACTCCGTATTTGCTATATTTATGTTTATCTGCGGTTGGGCTTCCAGATTTACTGACTACGACTCTCGAACTAGGAAACCACTGAATTACTTCCAGGTTAGAAAGAACCCTAATTTCGTATTGAATTGTAGACAACAATCTGTAGAGTAGTTTTCTAATTTTGATGATGTGTGTCTACTATATGCATTTTACATTGCTAGGTAGATGGTGAATTTATTTGGAAGGAATTTTTGGTTATTTGGTTTTGGTTAATTATTTGATTTTGGTTTTAATTTATGGGCAATCGGTTAATTTGTATTCCTTATAGTCATATATAATTGTGTTGTCTAGAATCAGTTCAGGGGCATTTTCTCTACACCCCCACACTAATCCCCCGTCCCCTACCCCCTCCCTGAATCAAGTTCGTGGACACATCACTTCTCTCATCCATATTGCATACATCCTCAGCCCAAGGATCCAACATAAACCACTTGATCCTGTTAACAGAGGCAAACTCCATAAGAGAATTTTGTGTGGGCACTCTATTTACTACAAACCAGGAATTCATCTTTAGGGTTGACTCTCTAATGAAAAAATGCCATATTTTTACGAAGAATGGGCCAAGGGGGTTACTTTAAGCCTCGAGTATTTCCCGAATATACTTTTGTATAAACTCCTCTAACAGTTCATGCATAGCACATCCTTCATTTGGTTTTGAAAATGTATTGAAGAACATTTTTTTGTCAAATTTATAGAAGGAACTCAAATCAAGCTTTATTAATTGCACAAGACGATGGTGGAGCCACGTTCATTAAAAATTAAAATATTTGAAAACTTTCCACAAAATTATATTAGTACCCAGAAGTATGGCATGGCCACATATGGTTGATTTTTTTCAATTTCAAGCACAGGCATGCTAGAATTCAAATGGGTGAAAAATGGGAGATCTTTAAAAGTTTATGATATTTCTTATTTTATCACTTTTTGAATCCCCATTTATTCACTGAAACGTGATCCATCTTATTGACATTTGACAAGCCATATTGACGTCAGTGTACTACTGTACTTTTTTAGAACAATTTAAGAGGTATATGAAGGGCTGAAGCAGAGAGATAGATAGAGGTTTAGAAAGAAATGAGTGGTTGATTTTAAGAGAGTGAGGGAAATTGTTAGACTGAGGGATCACTTTTAGACAGTTTGTCTGATATACTCTTTGAAATTTCACTCATACCTGACTCTGTTCAGGTTAGCTTGAATTTGGGCGAGGTTGGGGCTAGAATTTGGGCATTTTTCATTTTCACTTAGACACTGGCTAGTTGATTCAACTAGTGGAACAAATTGGCAAACATTTTCTGAAATTGACCAAAATAAAAAGATAGAACATCAGATTATTATGAGGCATGTTACACGTGATGCACAATGTTTAACACATCAGGGATCTTGATGTGGACAAACTATATGAGTCGTGCACATAATGGCTAGTTTGCACATAGTGAGGAACCTATGATGCACACGCATCAGTGATTTCTCCATTTTCTGCACATCTTGAGTTCTCCATTGACATCATTGCATCTTCCCTCAGCTTCACATCTCAATCTTCTGCGGAACCTCCCTGTGGGTCAACGGCTGAGTCCCGTGCAATTCTGTTCTTGATTATTTATATGACTTTGATTCTTGGTCATTTTTCTATAACTTATGCCGTTATGCTTTTATTTATTTGTGGTAGTTTTGACTTTTGAAAGACTAGTTTTATTTCTTTTAAAGTCTGTTTTGTATATATTTGTATGGTTTGCATATAGAGAGCTACTACTCTTTTTTCTTTATATGCTCCTCATGTTCTTGATGTGCGCGTCTCAAAGTGCATTAAGTGTCCAAGGCCCCTTTGTGCATGGGTGCATCTTGCACCCTTAACATCTATGAACAGAAAGAGCCAGATACCAAACAGGGCCTAGATTTTTGAAGTGTTAAGCCAATTCTCTCAATTATGCAGTACCATTTAGCTACAGCTGTGGCAGGCTCCCCATTGGGCCCAGGCATTATAAGAGATTGAAAATGTGGAGAAGATTTTTCACTGCCATCTCTACTCCTACCCATCCAGCTACAGTATCATTGCGTTCATCTCTCGGCTTATCACCTCCTCGCTTCTCTGCTTCCTCTGGTATCATTCTATTTCCTCCATTAACTCAATCTATGTATAGGATCTCAATTCATTTCTATTTTCTGATTCTCCATTTTAATTTATGTTGAACAGGAAATGTTAACATATGGAAGGGGGCTGTATCTTATGTAAGTTTCTGTAACTGTGTACACCATTTCTTCTTTACTCTTAACAACAACAACAACAACAACCCAGTTAAATCCCACAAGAGTAGGGTTTGGGGAGGGTGTGTGTACGCAGACCTTGCCCCTACTCAAAAGTAGAGAGGCTGTTTCCAAAGAGACCCTCGGCTCAACGTCGAAAGTTGCATTGCTTGACTAACTGCTACTTCATTAATTAAAGAAGCGCAAATAGTTTAGATATCCATTTTGATTTATTCCATCACACCCCAAAGCCAAAAACAGGTGAAATTTTGGCTCCATCGGAGATGATGGAAAATTCTTCTTTACTCTTAACCAGTTGAAATTCTTTGTCTGTGGAATGTCTTACCTGAGTATTGTTCTTCCTCTTTTCTAGCCCATGCGCATGCTGTCCTCCATGTTGTCTTGTTTATGTTTGGTTGTTGTCTTGTTTAAAGATTGAGGAGACAACACTTCCTACATGATTTTTTACACTTTCATGTGACTCTAACTAGTTTAAACTCCATAGTATCGTGATATTTATAGATAAGGTCAAAATTAAACAAAGGAATACTGAATGTAGTATGGAAGAGAGTGTTTCTAGTCCCTAAGTTGTTTCTTAATAGTCCTTTTTGTATCCTAGTTATTGCACTTTTGCATGCTAATCCCTGAGCTATCATTTAGGTAGCAATTATGGCCCCTCTGTAGTGAAAAACTAATTAATAATAAGGGGTAAAGGTGTGTTTTGTGTTTCAAAAAAAAGAACTGAATAATAAATTTCAAAAGTTCAGGTATATATATTTAGGACAGCGTTCGATATGGCATGGCATAAACGCGCCTCATGCCGCGTCTTAGAACCAATTTGTTGCCAATGCGCTTGAATTAGCCATGGTGGATGGTTGCATACGCCGCATGACGTTTACAACTCATGGCAGTATAGTTGCGTTTACATTATTGGATATTTCATCTACATACATTTTAATTATTTCTTTAGTTTTCTTGACAGATTTAAATTCACCACCTTAGGCTAATATTTTTCATTATTACATGCTAATTGTTGTTGTGTTTGAGATCTTTTACTTTCTCAATATACTTTTCTAATGTTCATGGATTAATTATGTTATTAATATTGCTCTATCTTTAATTTAAATAATATTTTATGCACATCTTGGTACTTCAAAATGAGGCTTATGCCTCAATATGCCTCGAGGCTTACACAATACGCAATGGACAAAAAATGCCTCAAAACCGCAATACGCAGGGTTGTTAAGATTGCGAGTCAGATTGTAGCATTGTACGATTGTTCCATCAATGCTAGGGCTACCAATCCAGATCGGCTTGGGTCGTCGAGGATGGCTTAGGATCGGTATATCGTCACAGCGATTTAATCTGAAGAAGAAGAGGCGTCAGAAAAAAAGAAAGAGGCGAGGCGCGCACGTTGAACCGATTGTCTCCCAAAAACACTTTCTCCTCTACGGCTGCTTTTTTTTCTTTTGCTGACGTGGGTTTGCATATGTGGCCTTCGTTTTTTCTTTTTTGGGTCCAACTCTGGGGCCTCTTTCCCAATCCCAAGTGAGATATACTTGACCCAAATCTCACTTTTCTTTCCCAAGCAACTTGACCGAAATCTCAGTTTTCAGCCTTTTTCTTTTAAACTTTTTTTATTTGAATGAGATGACCTTATACCAATTTTTATATATTTGGGTATTATGATTGTGATTTATGGCTTTATTTTTTAATTATATACATGTTATAAATTTTAAATATTACTTCGGTACTACTCTGCGATTTGAGTAATGGTCCACAATTTACAATCCTCTGACCCCCCACCAATCCTAACTAGGATCTCAAGTTTAACAACCTTGGCAATATGTCATTTCGAACATTGATTTAGGGTTTGTTTGGTGAACCAAGCAGGGTTGATATAATATAGGTTATGAAATCTGGAATAAATTATATGAGTTCTAAAATGGAAGTGATTAGAGAGATCTGAAATGATGGTTGTTAGTGGCATGTTAGGTTGTAGTGGGATGGGTGCGGGTGCACATACGGGGACGTGGACTGAAAATGGTATTTTTAAAAAAGTTATCGGATGCAGGTACTGCAAGAATACAATAACCAAAAATAATAAAATACTAAAAATGGAATTGTAAATATAAAATACAATACTTAGCTCGTAACAATCAAAGACATATGTGATATGATGAAATTGTGGATTGTGAATCCTTAATTAAAAACATCACTCCTTGTCAATACACTTTGAGATCTATGCATCACTCCGTAATAATATTAAAATATGAAGGGTTACTGTATTCCTATTCTTTGCTTGGAGAAAAGACTAGGCAATATCAATAAAGCATACCTATACGGCTATACTAGTGGAAGTCTGGATGGGAGAAGAAACTCAAGAACGACACCATGCACCTGTACCAGGCTAGTTGACAGCTGTCGGCTAGAATTCCAAAAGCTCTGGAACAGAGGTGTCACTCCACTACTCCTGTAAGGCTGGGTAGACAGGAAGTCTGACCACAAACTTCAAATTTTGAGGGGAGCTGGCTGCTGCAATTGGGTCGGAAGTCGAAATGGGAGAGAAGTAGTTCGCGTAATTCTTCGTAGATTGAAAGAGATATCCAACCCCTCGGATTGATATCTCCCGAATTTGGACAAAATCAAAACACCCTATTTGGACCATAATATTATGTCAGGGCCTGGAAACTGATCCTGTAAATAGTGAATGGGAACCTTATTTTGGGATGGAGTGACTATATTTAAACAATACTTTAGTCTTTATAGGTTTTGTGTTGGTGAGACAAGTACATACAAATTTGCTTCTCATTTATTCTTTTTTGCTTTCCCATTGCTTGTAATGCCTATAATGGGACTACATATGTGTAAGTGCAGTATTCAGAGATGAAAAGAACAATTGTGCAACAAGTCTATCACGAAAAATGCTATTTTTACACTGTACTTTGGCAATTGGTGGTGTAGTTTTTGCATTGTTCTCTTGTTCTCAATTTGTCATGACTTCCATATATTCCTGCTAACCTAGTAATAGATGGCTTTAGGTAATTTTTATTCTGCTTGGATGCGTAGTGCATCATTGACTTGCTTGGTGCATGTGATTCCATGTGAATTAGGTAAGCACATGATGATTGAAGTGTTAATATTCCATCTGCCCTTCTAGGATTTTCCATCTTTTCTTTTTTGTATGTCCCAAAATACTTCCTAGTTTCCATTCTAAAAAAAACGTCTGGTACACACATTTTCTCTATATTCTAAACAAACTTCACCTCACAATTTTAGAGCTTAATCTCCATGTCCGAACTAGTTGGGAAAACCCAATGTGGATTGGGGTAGCATTTTTGCTTTGACCTATCACGCAACACATGATTCTTCTTCAATGTGTGATGATTTGTAGTGCAATTTATTTATTTTATCATACTTTACCAAATGGCTTCATCTAGAGATTATATTGGGTCCAACCAAATTTTGTATGCAATTCAAAATAGGGTTAAGTCGAGAAAACTGCATGGGGATATTTTCGTGAAGATTCCAAGCTTTTGAGTTTTTGGATGTGGGAAATGGAATCCAAGCTGTGATTTCGTGGTTCATAGATGCTAGTATATCTTTGTGCAGTATTTATTAGTTTAGTATACTGTATGTGATATAGCATTGGAACTAAAGAAGAGTCTCTTGTACATTCAAAGGAAAATGGCATTGCATCAGTGACATCATATCATAAGGGTCCTAGTTCCAATGTGTCACAACTCTTCACATTGGGTCATAGTTTTCAAAGAAGAGTCATTGCCACCATTGGGTCATCAGGGGATACTGTTTCTCAAGATGCTTCAGCTTCTAACTCTCTGGTGACTCCACATATTAAGTTTAAGAGGCTAGATAAGACGGCAAAGCACATAATGCAGGTATGAGATTTTTCAGCAAAACATCTGGTGTGGATTATTTATAGTAATGCAGGTATGAGATTTTTTATTTTGATCCCTGCCCATTGCAGATTCTTGATAAAGAGGCAGTTGAAGAAGTGAAGACACAGAGAGAGATACTCGATATACGACCTGGCTATATTTTGCAGCTCAAAGTGGTATTATTGCTTGTTATGAGTTTTTTTTTCAATTGTTCTATTGCTTGTCATAATATATTTTTCTGAATATCATCTTTTGAACTTTTATATGGTCTTAGTCTTGTTGCTCTTGCCAAATAACTTGCTATTGTTCATGCTTTTATATCAGGAAGTACCTGAAAACAAGAGACGCGTTTCAATTATAAAAGGAATTGTGATAGCCAGACGAAATGCTGGGTTGAATACCACATTCAGATTAAGAAGGCTCGTGGCAGGGGTTGGCGTTGAATCCGTCTATCATCTGTAAGTGGAACTAACTTGAATCTTTTTATTTTCTTCCTTTTTTCATATAAAAAAGACGTTACAAAAGAAGAAAAGAATATGCTAACACCACAATATTTACTATTCAGTGTTGCACTTGTAGTCTTGTCGAATACTCTCCCTGTCCGGATTTAGTTGTCCACTTTCTTGTTATCGCTTGTCCAGAATTAGTTGTCCACTTTCTATATTCAATTGAGAAATTATGATGAGTTGTGTAAACTCCAAACTATCCTAGAGATGAGGGATGGACATTGTTGACATTAATGAGTGGCAAACTTCTTTGAAGGACCCTTTTTAACTTAATGAGAGTTTTTAGAATGTGGATAGCTAGTTCCGGACAGAGGGAGTATACAACTAGCACTCCATTTGTTCCAATGTTGCAAGAATCACTAGTTGGTGGTTGGGCCTCCAGTAGCTTGGTGCTTTAGTTTATTGTTTTATTTCAAAAATCGTATTCCTTCCGTTTCATAAAAAGAGTCTTGTCACAAATGTATAATCTCTATATTGTAGTATGGTACAAACGTACACCTGTGTGAAATTATCATATATATATGTATATATATATATACACACACACACACACACACACATATATATATATATATATATAGCTATGTTTCAATTTTTTTTGTTTAACTAAATTTGACACACTTAATTTGTTTGAGGCACTTGTATAAAAACACTAAGGGGCTGTTTGGCAACTCCTGAATCGGTAAGTGCTGAAGCAGTAAGAGGTCAGGTCTGAACCATTAAGTGCTGAACCAGTAAGAGGTCTGAACCATTAAGAGCTAGTAAATTGCTTAACTATTCAGAGGCAAATGTCTGATCAATTCAGATAAGAGGTCTTAACCATTCAGACTCTGTATAATACTTAACCATTCAGAGGCAAATCTCTTAACCATTCAGACATCTGAACCATTAAGAGGCTGAAACAAACAGTCTGAACCATTAAGTGCTGAACCATTCAGACATCTGAACCATTAAGAGGTTGAAACAAACAGCCCCTAACACTATGTTTGGTTACACTATGTTTGGTTCAAGGAATTTGGAAGGAAAAGAAAAGAAAATGATTTTCCCTGAGTTTCTCTCATTTTCCTCACCAAAATGGAAGGAATTTGATTTTCCATCCTCTTAGTATATTTTGTCTTCTCATTTTCTTTTCCTTCCACTTTTCTTTTCTTTTCCTATCTATCCAAACATAAAAAATTGTTTTCTTTCTCATTTTCTTTTCTTTTCTATTTCAAATTCCTTGAACCAAACATAGTGTAAATATAACAAAATTAACTTCTTTTACTTGAAAAGGTCGAGGCTATAACACTCTCAGTGCCTTTAACCATTGGGTTTACTCGATTAAATGTGTCATGTCCGTGCCAGCCCGCCTTGGTTACCAACGGCTATGGAATGCTGTAATGTAAAGCTACCCTAGTAAAGTTTGTGGCCAAGTCTTATTGTTTCATGTTTTTTTATTGATTCAGATACTCACCCAATATAAAGGAAGTAAAGGTGGTGGACAAGAAGAAGGTGAGAAGGGCAAAGCTGTACTATCTCCGGGATAGAATGAACGCATTAAAGAAGCAATGAACGAGTCTACCAAATGGAATTGGGTAAGTATATAAAGATTGATATATGTTACAACGTATAAATTTGCGTCCATCCCGAAAAAGAGTCCAATTTGAGAAAAAAAGATTAAAATTTTCATCATAAAAATACCCTAAACAAGTTAGGCATTTTAAATTTAGTTAAATTTAAAAATATACGAGCGACTATTTTTGATGACTTCTATTATGTTTAGAAAAACACACCAATTCACAAAACTATACAATTGTGCTATTAACATTATGGAGTAGTAGTCATTATTCACATTTCACTCTTCAAAATTGTGGCATTAGTTATTGCTATCCTTCACAAGTGAGAGACCATATTATTCATTCAATTTCCATACTTGCTATTCTTAACTAGCATCTACAAATAGAAACAAACGGATAAAGGGGAATATATCTATTTTCAATTTTTTACAGTTTAGTTTTGTGCTGACTGCATCTTTTAATAGCAAGGTAAATGTCGGAGTCGAAGAAATGGAAGGAGAAACCCATTTTTTTTGCAGTAATTTCACCATCCTAAGTAGTGTTGATTTTAGTGCAAAGATACCTATTCTATATACATGCTGGATGAGTTCTTTATTTTTATTTTTATTTTTTTGCTTTGTTAGAAATGATAATGGAGTATATTTTTAACTGGATGTTATATTGTTATGGAATCTTTCACTTGGATGGATAGACAGAGAGACTACAATACTGCTTGTTGTTCCACTGGTTTGAATGAAGTTCCCGTGGATTGAAGTGCACAAGTGGTTTATGAGGTTTTTTATGCTATTCTTTTTATCCCAAAATTTTTTTATGCTCTTAGGGTGGTGGGAATGGATGGAGACAGGCCAAGTTCGGTTCGGGTATGAATAATTCAAAAATACGGGTAGGAAATAATGTTCGTACAAAATAGAAATAATACATGTCCATTGCTGTTTGAATAATAAAAAGAAAATACGTGTAGGAAATAATATTCGTACTAAGGTTGTTTTTGGTTGAGGGTATAATATTTTCCTTGAAGAATTTGTTTCAAAGGAAAATCATTTCTAAGAAAAATTACTTTTCAATCGTATTTTCTATTGTTTGGTCAAAAAGAAAATATTTTCTTAAAAAATCATTTCATTTATTCATATTTAAGAACTAACATTCTAAACTTATCAATTTTAGATTTTAAATTCTATTACATAGGATAAGAATTTGAATTCAATAATTTGAATCTTGTGAGTCAAATTGGAACCAAGTTCATCCTTTTTGAGGCATAACAATGAAACATGCTTTATAGACACATGCCTAATAGACTTAAGTCTTAAAGATTTAAAGCATAAATTTTAAAATTTAAACAAAAAATTAAAATTTAGAAACTAGAAATTAAAAATTAGAAAAATAAAAAATAAAATAAAAATTAAAGTTTCAAAATTTAAAATCTAAGGTTTAAAAACTAAAAAAATATATATTTAAAAATAAAAAATTAAAATTAAAATGTTCTTAAATTGACAATTTGAAATCTTAAAATTTATAATTTGAAAAATGAAATTTTAAATTTTAAATTCTAAAATTCATAATCTTTAAACTTAAAATCAAAAATTAAAATCTAAAATTTAAAACAGAAAAGTCAAGAAAGGGGGGAATTGATAAATGCACTCCAAAAATGTTAGTTGCACTCCATATGTTTCTTTTTTAGCTAGAAATTGACACAAAAACCCTTTAAAATCTTTCATATCTTTTTAATATGAAATAACCATCAAAATAAAAATAGTAGTAAGTTTTAATCCTTAAAAATCATTGATGGAGAAATATGTCATTGTTAACTTAAAATGAACCCCTCAATTGACAAGTAACATACCAATTCAATAAAGTTTTAAAATGATCTTAACATGTATATAACTTATTTTTAATCCTGACTTTTTTCTAATTAAATCTGAAATTTATTTTTTAAAAATAGTTTTTAAAAATGCTGATATATTTTTCTGTTTTTTTTTTGTTTTATTTTTCTTTAACTTTTTTGAACAATTCTAATTATTTTAAATCCAAACCTTTGATTGTACTCTAATTAAATATGGAGCATGTAAGTGTATTGTATTGAAATTATTTATAGAAAATAAAATAGAAAAAATTCAAAGATATACATCTAAAATCTAAAAAACAAAAGAGATAAAAGTAATGAATGTGAAGTTTTTCAATCACAAGATTTTTTTTGGATCTTAGATCTATTTCTCTGATTCTTTTTCTATTTTTTTATACGAAGTACAGTTTCATATGGAGTATTTAACTAGTGTATTAAAAATATTTGGGATTTAAAATATTTAGAATAGTAAAAAAATTACTCCAGAATAACATAAAAAAGAAAAAAACATAAAAAAAATAGATAAAAAATACTATGTAGAAAAAAAAATATTTAAATTTTTTTTAAATAAAACTATTTCAAATTAAATTAGAAAAAATCAGGATTTTAAAAATTGAATTTTTTATGCACGCTAAGTCCATTTAAAAAACCTTATTGAGGTTAATGTTGAGTTTAAAAATGAAATATTTTGAGGTGCGACCCTATAGAAAATATCCTATCTAAGTAAGGTCACTTTAAATGACATATTTTCCACAATCAATGTATTTTTCTTTAAAAGCAATTTGGTATTAAAATTAAATGAAGAAATTTAAAGGACAAATTTGTCAATTCCTAGCCATAAAAGAAACGTGTGGAGTGCAACTAACTTTTTTGGAGTGTATTTATCAATTCCCAAGAAAGGGGTATGAGGTGGGGGCGTGTGTGGGGGATGGAGGAGAAAGAGTGAAAATTTTCTTTCGATTTTTTACGGAAATTATTCCCCCCCCCCGTTAAAAGAAAATATTTTTCCTGGAATTATTTTTCATCAACTAATCAGTAATGTCATTAAACGTGAAAAAATAGAATCAAAATCTCCTGGAAAGATAATTTTCTCCCAACCAAACACACCATACATACAAATGATAGATGTTGGTAGAAAATAGAAATACTCCAAGCCCACCTCTTCAAATTCTCCCTCCATGAATAAAGTCATCAGTGCTTTGTTCTAACGTGAAGAATGAGATATCCATTGCCTTTGCAATTCTCATTTAATGCCCTCTCTAACAAAAGGAAAAAAAAAAAAGAAGAAGCAGATAGCCATTGAGCCGCGCTCCTTGCCCCAACCTCGGCGTAAGGCCGCGCTGGATCTGCGGCTGATTTTCCCGGCGGCCGCCCACTACAGGCGGTCCGCCGTGCCGGTCGCCCCCCCCCCTTTCTCTTCTTCTTCCTTCTGGTCCGATTGCTTTTTCTTCCTCCTTGTCCCAATTCTATTTTTAGCTTCTTCTTTCTCAATTTTTTTAATGGTATGTTTGGGAACATGGATTTGGATTTCAAATTCGGATTTGGCTCAAATTCCATGTTTGGGAAACTTACAAATTTTGAATTTGGATTTGAATCAAATTCTTCTCATTCATAACAAAGTTTAATTTTAAATTCATGCGCCTCCCATTGTCATTTGAAATTCAAGATTTCAAATTTTGGAATTGAAATACATGATTTGAAATGAAATCCTAGTTGCCAAACACTACCTAATTTAATTTTTTTTTATTTTAAACCATTTTTTTTAATGTAATCAATTTTGAATTTTTTAATTTCATTTTTATTTTTTAATTTCAATTTTATTTTTTAGTTTCAGCAATTAACTTAAATTCAAATTAACTGAAAAAAATCAAAGGGATACGAATACTCAGAGACGGGAGTAATTGACATATAAACTATTACTTCCTTCATTTGAACATATTTATCTACATTATTGATTTTTTTGAGTTAATCTAGATGAATATATAAACTTGGACGGATCGGAGGAAGTGTTAAAAATATTAAACCACACAACTTAACACTACCTCCAAACATTTTTAAATTTTTAATTAGTATAATTTGTTTGTTTAAATTCCTGAAACAAATCATACACACAAATCATACTAAGGTCGAAGGAAGTATGTTTAAAATTTTAATTAGTATATATACTTTCAGGAATGACTATTGGTAGTTCCCGTATGATTTGTTTGTTTGTGTATTTTTGTTTTTGCACTGCAGCTTGGGGAGTTCCCAACCATGTATATATATATATATGTGTGTGTGTGTAATATATGCATTTGTTCAAATGATCCAAAATGTGTTGAACTGTGGAGACTAAAATTATACTACCTCCGTCCCACAAAAAAGTTCCCATTTTGACTATAATTTGGTCAAACTATAGCACACTTTGACTTTAAATTAAATATAATCTAAATAAAGAAATGCTAAAAAAATTTGAGATATCAAAACTAGATCCTAAGATGAATCCAATTATATAAAATTTATTTCATAATTCAATATATTTTTCTCACAATTTGTAGTCAAAGCGTGTAAATGTTTGACTAAATACTATTCAAAATGAGAACTTTTTTGTGGGACGGAGGGAGTATTTTTTTCCCTATTAATGTGGAATGAGATACTTGTAAAATTAAACGTACAATCAATAATCCAGAAACAATACAGGTACAAAATAGAAACAATACTAATAATAGGAAATTGCACAAAATAGAAACAATAATTAGGAAATTACACGACCACTTCATGTTTGTTCCTGTCAAAAGCATAAAAAAAAGGAAAAACCGTTTTATTAATATACAATGTAAGGAGTAACCTTTTTTTAATTATTAATATGTGTAGTAGATCGAAAACTAAAATTTGTCCAGCTAGCTTATCCCCAAAAAGTCAAATCGATGAATAATTTGGGACGAAAGAAATATTTTACATGCGTCACATTGTAAATATTTCAACCCCTTAATTTCCATTTTTTTAAAAAATTATTTATTCATGTGCAATCAACCATGCATGCATGGCAGAAGAAATTGAAACAGTTGAGAGAGTAGAGGAAACAACATTTCTTAAATTAAAGGATGGAATGGAATATAATAATACGGAAATTACACTATGTTTGGTTCTAGAAACTTGAAGGGGAAAAGAAAAGAAATTAAGATGGAAAGCTTTTCTCGTTTGGATAGGAAGGAAAACAAAAGAAAAGTGGATGGAAAAGAAAATGAAAAATAAAATATATTAACACTATGTTTGGTTCAAGGAACTTGAGAAGGAAATGAAAAGAAAATGAGAAAGAAAACAATTTTCTTGTTAGATTAGAGAGGAAAAGAAATGAAAAGTGGAAGAAAAAGAAAATGAGAAGACAAAAAAGACTAGGGAGTGTTGATTTGCATCAGATCTGAAATTTCTCCATGAATCTTCATATGAAGATATGAACAGAGCATGCAGCGAGAGAGAGACGAGAACTAAACGGAAATAACAGAAAATATCTTTTTCTCTCTCATTGAACTAAAAATATCAGAGTACAAGAGTGTATTTATAGCAACATAAAGGAAGAAAAGAAAGAGAAACAAGATAAGTGGCTAATGCCCAATATCACCAACACCCCCCCCCCCCTCAAGTTGGTGGGTGGATGAACCCCAACTTGGAAAGTATCCTATGATGAACAGGTCCAGGTAGACTTTTGGTGAAAATATCAGCGAGCTGACCACTAGTAGGAACATGAATAAGAGTGGTGAGGCCATCTTTAAGTTTATCACGAACAAAATGGCAGTCTAACTCGATATGTTTGGTACGCTCATGGAATACAGGGTTGGTGGCAATGTATATGGCGGCCTGACTGTCACACTTAACTGGAATAGGGAGGATATTGGGAATGTCAAAC